TCTATCTATCTATCTATCTATCTATCTATCTATCTATCTATCTATCTATCTATCTATCTATCTATCTATCTATCTATCTATCTATCTATCTATCTCTCTATCTATCTGTTAGAACCAGGATAATCTGGGTCTTGTGTACCTTTTGTCTCGGATGTTTGTGTCAGTCGGTTACATGTTTGTTGTTTATTGATACAAGATAGTCACCAATGACAGGCATGTGAAGCTGGCCGTGAGAATCACTGTCTCTGAAACTGTATGTTTTGCATCATCTTGTCCTTTAGCAATTCAAGATGTTTTGTTTAAAACTTTCAGTAATATTTCTTTGAAACTGAACCACTCTAAAGGCAGGTGAGCTCCTCAGTACAGCTTTCTTTTAATAAAATCCTGTCAGTGTGGGTAAAACAACACTTAATTTCCTCTTGCAGCTTGTTGTGGGTTCACAGAGGCACTGATCTCATCAATCTACCTTGTGCTTTGATACACATTATGGCTGACATTTTTTTACCACTTAACTCCAGTTTGTGCTGGATGACTCATGATGTACTTCATTCTATATTGATCTGGTTGTAAAAAATGATCGCTCTAAGCACATCCATACACACTTTGTTTTTCTTGTTCTGCTGTTGTGGTAAAATAATTTGGTTTTACCAAATAGCAGCAAATACTGAGCTCTTTAAGTATCACCTATTGCAGCAAATATTAAAAATCAGTATATCTGACTGAATTATTTTCATATCAGAAGTAAACATGCAAAATGACCGAACCCCTGAGCTAATTAAAGGATTTGGGTGAAAGGGGCTGTATTTCTCTACCATAATCAAGTACAGGTGCTGGTCATAAAATTAAAACATCATAAAAATTTTGATTTATTTCAGTAATTCCATTCAAAAAGAGAAACTTGTATATTATATTTGTTCATTACACACAGACTGATATATTTCAAATGTTTATTTATTTTATTTTGATGATTATAACTGACAGCTAACGAAAATCCCAAATTCAGAAAATTAGAACATTACTGTAAGACCAATACAAAAATAATGATTTTTAGAAATGTTGGCCAACTGAAAAGTATGAAGATGAAAAGTGTGAGTATGTACAGCACTAATTTTTTTTTTTTACAATTTTACCATTTAAATACTAAGTTTGGACTTCTTTTGCCTGGATTACTGCATCAATCGGGTGTGGCAGATCAGTCTGTGGCACTGCTCAGGTGTTATGATAGCCCAGGTTGCTCTGATAGTGGCCTTTAGCTCTTCTGAATTGTTGGGTCTGATGTATTACATCTTCCTCTTCACAATCCCCCATAGATTTTCTATGGGGTTAAGGTCAGGAGAGTTTGCTGGCTAATTAAGAACAGGGATACCATGGTCCTTACTGTCAATGTGAAAGATAGTCACTTTGTGTGTGTGTGTGTGTGTGTGTGTGTGTGTGTGTGTG